TCCCCAAAACGCCCAGAGGAGGAGCCGCCTCCAGGAGAGAGGACAGCGGTGAGGGCGGAGGAGGGGCTGTGAGCACAGCCGCCCAGCAGGAGGCGCCCTGAGGACCAGCCCTGAGGGAGGCGGCATCTCCGCGTCACGTGACCTCGGGCCTGAGCCCCTGGGTCCTGGGGTGGGTGCCCGGCCCGCAGCCCTTTAGTTCCCACCGGTTCCTGCGGGGGCAGAGCCGCTGAGGGGACGGGGCTGTGGGGCTCGTGTCAGGGCCTCACACTCTGGTGGCCTCTGAGGTCGTGGTGCCCGTGGGGCCGTCGGCCCCTCTTCCTGGACCTGGGGACCTTGAACAGGCACCAAGCACAGGAGCTGAAGTCCAGGTCCAAGGTGGTATGAGGTGGTCTCAGTTTTTGGCAACGTGTGCAGTGAGACCTGGGCCGTCCTCTCAGGCACAGGGGCCAGAATGTGCTGGGGCTGGGGGGGAGGCTGAGCTGGTCCAGGCACCCGCAGGTGGCCTTTCTTCCCATGGGAACCGGGGACAGTGGGACCGGAATCAAGTCCTGAGCAGCTTTGAGACAAGTTGGGAGTCTGGTCTGCAGGTGATGGTGGCTGTGAGAGATTGGCAGCCGTGGAGGCAGGGGATCTGACCCGGGTCTCCTGTGGCTGCAGCGTGGAGGGCGGTGTAGGTGTGACCAGGGAGAGGCTGCTGCTGTAGTCGGGGCGAGTGTGATGGCACCTGAGCCGTGATGGTGGCCATGGAGGTGGGAAAGAGTTGGACTCTGGATCTGTGTTGTAGGTGTGGCCACCTGCATATTCTTTTTTTTTTTTTAATTTTATTGATTGAGTTAGAGAGAGGAGAAAAATATCAATCTGTTCCATGTATTGAACATTCATTGGATGATTCTTGTATGTGTCCTGACCTGGAATTGGACCAAAACCTTGGTGTATCAGGATGATGCTCTAAGCATCTGAGCTACCTGGCCAGGGCCCCCACCTAATTTTTTTTTTTTTTTATAAATATTTTTATTGCCCTAACCAGTTTGGCTTGGTGGATAGAGCATCAGTCTACGGACTGAAGGGTCCCAGGTTCGATTCGGGTTAAGGGCATGTACCTTGGTTTTGGCCTCATCCCCAATAGGAGATGTGCAGGAGGCAGCTGATCGATGTTTCTCTCTCATTGATGTTTCTAATTCTATCCCTCTCCCTTCCTCTCTATAAAGTAAAATCAATAAAATATATTAAAAAAATATACACATTATTATTGATTTCAGAAGAGGTTAGAGAGAGATAGAAACATCAATGATGAGAGAGAATCATTGATTGGCTACCTCCTGCACACCCCCTACCATGGATCGAGCCCGCAACCCAGGCATGTGCCCTTGACCGGAATGGAACCTGGGACCCTTCAGTCCACAGGCTGATGTTCCATCCACTGAGCCAAACCAGCTAGGGCTATATTTTCTTCTTTCAACTTTGACAGAGAGAGAGGTAGGAATCAAGGATGCCTTGATAATTTGGTTTTGGCAGCCAGAGGTATGGAAGCACCATCAACTGAGATGGGAAAATCCGCAGTAGTAGGAGTAATTGTCATTGGGGATGTTAGGAGTTTTATTTTTGGTTCATTAAGGGTATGAGATGCTTCAGAGAGCAGTTCGTGGGCATCTGTAACTGAGGAGGAGTTCAGGATGGAAGTTTCTCTCCAAGGTAGTGGGGAGTGTATGGTTCAGGCAGGCGCTGTAGAATGCTTTACTATGGGGAATCCTGGTCATGATGATAATGGTAATCTTTTTGTTGTTGTTAATCCTCACCCAAGGACATTTTTCCTCATTGATTTTTTTAAAATATATTTTATTGATTTTTTATAGAGAGGAAGGGAGAGGGATAGAGAGTTAGAAACATCAATGAGAGAGAAACACCGATCAGCTGCCTCCTGCACACTCCCTACTGGGGATGTGCCCGCAACCAAGGTACATGCCCTTGACAGGAATCGAACCTGGGACCCTTCAGTCCGCAGGCCGACGCTCTATCCACTGAGCCAAACCGGTTAGGGCTCCCCATTGATTTTTAGAGAGTGGAAGGGAGGGGGAGAGGCAGCGATAGAAACATCCATGTGAGAGAGATACAATGCTTAGTTGCCTCCCACACACGCCCCAACTAGGGCCTGGGATCTTGCCTTTGACTGGAATCAAACCTGAGACCCTTCCGTCCGCTGGTTGACACTCTATCCACCGAGCCAAACTGGCCTGGGCAATCATTGTAATCTTACCCCGGGAAGAAGACGGTGGGCCTGAGGGCAGGGTTTTCTCTTAGAGCCCGATTCGGGGAGGTGGGACTCACAACACAGATTAGGGACACAGTGGTCATGTAGAGGGTGGGGAACGAATATGGTTCAGCAAGTGGCCAAGGCCTTCGAGGGCTTGAGTGGACGTCCGATGGAGTGGAGGTGGAGGAGTAACTCACACAAGATGAGACTGAGGGTCAGATCCACTGCTCTAAGGGTCACCAGGACGCGGCTGTGTCCCCGGGTGTGGCCTGCGGTGTGGAAGGGAGGCTGGCTGGTCAGCGTAGGTACATAAGAGGTTATCTGTGAACGCGCTGGGCGTGGGATAGAAGGCAACGGGCTGGCCTTGAATGAGGGTGAGGTGGAGAGAGAGAGGCTGTGCCTGGTGAGGGAACATCAGCTGCAGCTGTGGGTGTCAGATCTGCTGTGCTTCCCGGTCGGTAAGGGTGAAGCAAGGAGCAGTCACAGTGGGAGGGAGGCCTTTATGCAGGACTGAGGCTGCCTTTGTAGGTGCGGGTCCTCAGAGTCTGGGCAGCACTTGATCCCATGTGACCACATGTGCTGAGTAACGAGTAGGGAGGCCAAGGAGATGACTATGGTGGGGGGCAGGCATGCAGGTGTGGGAGGGAGTGGGGTGTGCACTTGGAGAGACTGTGAATTCCTGGCCCCAGGGTCTCGCATTGACATTAGAGTGAATGCAGGCTGAGCCCAGGTCTGTTCGTGTCTGGACATGATGTGTGGAACCCCAGGGGAATTGCCTGAAAAGAGGGGGTGCTGCGGTCCTACATGCCAGGCCCAGAGCTTAGATGCCATTTATCTGCCTCCCTGCCCATTGGGGATGGGAAGACACAGTATCAGTAGGAGTATAGCACTAAGGTCAGGTATGTTCTCTGATGTGGGCAGTAGAGGGAGCAGATGCATGTGGGGGGCAGGGGGGTGACAAACCTGCAGTCTTAGGAGAGAAGCTGGTAATGGACTGAACTGTCCCCATTGTGACAGGAGATGGACTTTGAGGACGTGGCCATCACCTTCTCCCAGGAGGAGTGGGGGCTCCTTGATGAGGCTCAGAGACTGCTGTACTGCGACGTGATGCTGGAAATCTTTGCACTTGCAGCATCGCTAGGTAAGACCTTCACATTCTCCTAGTGTCCTAGGTGATGTGTCCTGCCCCTCCCCAAGTATCACTGTCCTTTTCACAGTCAGACCACGCACTCTGTTAATTTCCCCCACATTTCTGTCATATGGGCGGTGGGTGCCAGTGCCGAGCTGCATGGAGAGCCCTGAGCAATGCACAGTCGAGCATCCCTCATAACAGTTGCCTCAGAAAGAACAGGAAATGCTGGGAGTCAGGAGTCTTCCCACCTTGCTTGCCCTCAGCTTTGCAGGGTGACTATGTCTGGGTCCATGACCTCTAATTCTGCCCCTTTCCTCTAGCTAATTGTGCTTTGTGACTTCCTGTGCCACGTCACGTCATGGTTATTAATTCCCTAAGCCATGGGCTATTCTCTGTTTGTTTGTTTTTTTATATATTTTTATTGATTTCAGAGAGGAAGGGAGAGAGAGAGACATCAATGATGAGAATCATTGATTGACTGCTTCCTGCATGCCCTCCCACCAGGGATTGAGCCTGCAACCCGTGCATGTGCCCTGACTGGGAATCGAACTCTGACATCCTGGTTCATAGGTAGATAGATGCTCAACCACTGAGCCCCGCCGGCTGGGCTATTCTTTTTTTTATTTATTTTTTAACATTTTTATTGATTTCAGAGAGCAAGGGAGAGGGGGGAGAGAGAGAGAGAATGAATGAATGATGAGAAAAAATCACTGAACGGCTGCCTCCTGCATGCCCCCTACTGGGGATTGAGCCCACAACCCAGGCATGTGCTCTTGACCGTAATCGACCGTGGGACCCTTCAGTCTGGAAGCCGATGCTCTATTCATAGAGCCAGACCAGCTAGGGCTGGGCTGTTCTTTTAATACCTTCCTTCAATTGTTGCTTATAATATTTTGTTCCCTGAATACTATTGTGTGCCGCTCACCATTGTGGTCTCCCATTAACATTCTGATTATTTAGGTTTTGAGTAGTTGTACAATACAAAGTACAAAAAGAACCCTGTTTTTTTCACAGGGTAGTCATGGTAAGATGGTCTCAGAGGAGACCTTGCCCTGGTGAATGGCAACTGGGCGATGCCAGGACATAAAGGCTGTGTTCAGATTATATCAGGAACAGGTCGTGTGTCCACCAGTGCTTTCGTGTATTTGTCACTAACCACACCTCATTTCTACCTTTTCTTCCCCATACTTGACACTTTGCTGACTTGTTGTTTTTATCTGTGACTTCCTGGCTCCTAACTACCTTCCCCTTTGTGGCCTCCAAACATCCCCTGCTCCTCTGCACTGCTCCCTCTACAGCAGTGGTCGCCAACCTTTCAGACCTCACGGACCACTGGTTGGCGACCGTTGCTCTACAGAACATTCCAGCATTGATCTGCACGTGTGTTGTGAGGTGCACATACATCCTTCAGTAGTGCTTGGACACCGGCTACTCATTTTTTGAATTTTACTTTGAAAAAAACATAACCAACTTCCTGCACAGCTTGCCCATGTCACCAGCAGACAAGCCCTGCTGGACGCTATTAGCAGATGAATGAGTTGGACTTCCTGCTTCTCTTTGTGCTGCACGCCATCTCTGTCCTTTTTCTGGGGAGGTCTCCTCTACTTTGTGATCCTTAGAAGCCCCGTACTGCACAACCGCACATTATTCAACCTGCCTTCAGGGCTCTTATTTTACTTACTTTAAAAAAAAAAAATCTATATTTTTTTATTGATTTCAGAGAGGAAGGGAGAGTGAGAGAGAGATAGAAACATCAATGATGAGAGAGAATCATGGATCAGCTGCCACTTGCATACCCCCTACTGGGGATGGAGCTTGCAACCCGGGCATGTCCCCTTGACCGGAATCGAACCCGGGACCCTTCAGTCCGCAGGCCGACGCTCTATCCACTGAGCCAGACCAGCCAGGGCCAGGTCTCTTATTTCAGACAATCCCATGAAACCATTGTATTATGTCTGACAGTCCTTTGTCATGGGACTTCCCCCTCCCACTAAAGTCAACATCTGTGTGCTCAGCATCTCTCTGCTTTCAGGTTGTTGGCATAACTTGGAAGATAAGGAGGCCCCTTCTGTGCAGAGTGTGTCTGTAGAAGGAGAGTCACAGGTAAGACCTTCTGAGACAGCGCCAGCAGCCCGGAGGACCCACCCCTGCGGGCGGGGTGTCTCAGTGTTCAAAGATATTCTGCACCTGACTGAGTGCCAAGCAGCAAACCTTGAAAATGGAACATGCTTCAGAGCTGCCTCTGTGAGCGGCTCCTGCTTCAGTGCAGACTTTGCCCAGCAACAGAGGGAAGCCAGTGGGGAGAAGCCCTGCAGAGGAGATGCGGACAGGGACTTGGTGACCAGGGGCAGCTTCTGTGCATCAGGGACGCCTTTCACGCGTCAGGATGTTGGGGCCGAATTTCCAGCCATCTCCGGCCTTCTCCAGCTCCAGTCCACTCTTACCGCTGAGGGCCACACAGTGGCAGTGAGGGTGGGCTG